AGTCTGAGAAGAACAAAGTTCGTGTTTGAGCAGCAACAAAAAGTCTGCAGCGTGACGGTTAAAGTCCCAAGGTGGGGACGTCACCTGGGCAGGAAGATGTCCATCTTGGTCCTGCGCAGGCCCGCGGCCCAGGCAGCCAGGTGCCGTGCAGCGAGCTGGGCCTCCAGGGAACCCAGTGGGGTCTTCCTGTCCCCGGGCAGGACCACCTGCAGGTTCAGGGCGCGGCCCAGGTACGGCAGCTCCAGCACCGTGTACAGCTGCTCTGTTGTTCTGAACTGACCTGCAGGTTCAAAGGGGCCACTGTCACTCATTCCACCTGGTCTAGTAATAAAAAATGTGCTTCTTAGTTGCAGCGGTTTTAAGAGGACTGGGTCCGTACCGAAGCCGACCTCCGCAGCCTGGTGCATCATGGGAACGTTCACGGTGCTGCCGTCCGGGAGGCTGAACGGCAGGCTGTGCGTGTTGGTGAACAGAAACGGTTTGTGCCACACGCCCCTGAACGCCACCGTGTCGACCAGCGCCACCTGCAGCCCGCTGCCCCCCCACAGGGTCTCTGCCTGGGCCTCCCCCGAGCCCGACAGCTCGTTGCTGCTGCCCCCTGACTGGGGGGGCCACGACTCATCTGGGGTGAGACAAGCAGCACACCATCACCAGAGAACTAAACCAATCAAACGCTGAAAAGTTTTTCTTGTTAAACTCCAGTCGGCGGCGGTACGGTGGCTCAGTTGGTAGTGCCTCTCAGCAAAGAGGTTGCCGGTTCTAATCCCAGCCGGGGACCCCTCTGGGTACGGCCTGCTAGGGCTGGGCGATGTATCGAATATACTCGATGTATCGTACGTTCTTCAGTTTCCGATGGTGAATGGCTCGGTCACAACCATCGAGTATTAGACTTGAACATCGGCTTCACGCCTAAATTATTTTTAGACGTTTATTTTGTACAGTTACAGCTGTTCGTTAATAAATTGACAGTTGGGACAAGCTTAGGCTCAAATATATTTTCATTCATGTCATCCTCTGCCCTCTGAGCCACCGCTCCCCTTCACCTTGAAAAATAAAAACTACCGGTTTATAAACCAGCCAGTGTCTCAAACGAGGCTTTTTTAAATTTAATTATTATTTTTGTAAAACCTTTTTGTTTCCTGTCGTGAATCGAAGAGGGAAACTGGAAACGCTCTCCATTTGTCAAATAAGATAAGTGAGGTCCAGCTTCCATTTTGGTGTGTGGCTACATCTGGGTGTAAGAAGGGTCCCTAAAATATTGGGTGGCCACACGTTTATGTAAATCAACCATTCCTATCGTTTGAGGAAACTTTATAGTTATGTCAACTAACAGTTGCCGCGTGCTGATGGTTGCATGTCGAACCCAAAACCGGGCAGACCACGGAGACTCTGAGAATTACAAAAATAATTTATTAACAAAAACAAAAGGTTGACGGGGCAGCAAACTTATTTGATGCTGGGAACACGGAGGTAGACGGGGAAACGCCCAGACTGCGAGGGACACGGAGACACAGACTTAAATAGGGACGTTGATGAAAGACGTGACACCTGTGAAGGACAACAGGTGGTGGAGGCAGGACTAGGACATGCCACGAGGGGGAGACGCACACGATCCTTACAAAAGTATAGTTTCCTCAAATGTTTGGGGTGGCTGAAGATTAATTTATGGTGGGCAAGGCCACCGTTGGCCACCCCCTGACTCCACCGTTGTGCCAGACAAGAAAAACAAAACTCGCTTTGTTCTTCTCCACAGTGCAACTCCTACACTCCTACAGTAGTCATTTTTAATGTTTTTTTTAGTATGTTAGTATATTTTTTAGTATGTTTTTTTAATATTTTTGCTGCATGATTTGATTTTTATTTTTGGCAAGTCGAGACGGTTCTTCTCGTCTTAAGCATTTCATGACATCGTTGACCTTGTGTTGATTTTGCACATGACTTATAAATCTAACCTGCACAATTGATCATCGTGCACTAAAAACATTTAGGTTTACCTGCATTCTCTTGAAAACTACAAACATTCACCGTTAAATCTTACAGCAAGGTGTCGTCAGCGTACTGCTTGTTTATTTATGTAGTTCCTGGTAACTTGGTCCAAACTGCTGATGCTGAAACAAGTTGTGACGTCTTGAAACGGCGTGGCAGTGATTGCAGGTTGGTCAAAAAGAACCGTTTGTTTCCATAAAAAGGGATTAAAGGTGCTGCGAGTGGTTTCTAAAGGTTACCATGTTTGTGTCCGGCTTGCTTGGCTTGGCTGTGAGAGGAATGGCTGAAGGTGGCTCGCTCCACGCTGGTGTGGGCCCAGGCGGCTGCGTGCTGCGTGAACTCGCTGCGGAGCTGGACACCGCCCTGGATGAAGAGGGTGGAGGTCTGCTGCAGCCACAGGCCCTGGCTGCTGCTGTTCACACCCTGCGAGCGCAGCAGGAAGTCTCGGACCCGAGCGTCTGCACGACAAGGTACACACAAATGTCCACACTAAACGTTATTTCTTTTTTAATTAAATTATTGGGAAGAAAGAAGATCATGGTTTGTTCAATAGCAGTTTTGCTTTATATGTACTTTATATACTTTATTTTATACTTTGTGCTTTATGTATTATACCGTACTTCCAAACCGGTGCCCGCTGCAGTAGATGAGTTAAATATGGAGGTGAATAATCAGCAACGTCTTATAAATGAAGGTAAAGCCGTTTAACTTGAGAGCAGAGGTGACAGTGATGTTCTATAAGGGTCATTTGTAACAAAGCCAACAGCAGAGTGGTCAGTTGTGTCCAGCTTAGAAAGGGCACCCGTAAAAACATGTCTGTAAATGTGTCTCCATCATCCCAACAGAGGTAGAATGGGTTTTTCCAACAATGGTGAGTTTTATAGCCAAAGTAAACAAAGATTGGTTTCCACATAAATAACCAAGTCTGGCTTTAACCTTAGACTGTAAAACGGTAACATGAGGTGAAAAGGACAGAGCACCATCAATCCAAATTCCCAAGTATTTATAAACAGTTAGCTCATCTATAATATCACCGTTTACAGTGGTGGAGTCTACCGAGGCAGGTGTGGTTCCTCCTCCATGACTGAACCACATAAATTGGGTTTTCTTGGCATTCAAGGACAAATTTAATTCAGAAAAGGCCTGCTGGAGTTCCACAAAATCACATGCAAAGGACTTCACAACCTCATCCGGAGTAGAACCAAAACCATAAAAAATGGTGTCATCAGCGTATGAATGGATGGAGGCAACAGAACGCAAAATAGTATTCATAAATATGGAGAAAAGAGTTGGACCAAGAATGGAGCCTTGGGGTACACCTGAATGTGCTGAATGCAGTCATGTGCTGAATTTAAGACTGATTTGACACATTTGCCTAAAATCTTAAACCTGTAAGCTTTTTTTTTTTATCATTTAGTGTCAACTCCTCCAAACTCACATTTATTTTGCGATTATTCCCTACAAACGTATAATTTACAATAAATTGTGCTTCGTATTTAAAGCACTTTAAAGTTTAGATCGTTCAAAGCAGGGGCATCAAACTCCTTTACAGACGGGGGCCAAAATGAAAACTTTTTTCAAACTAAGGGCCAGGTTCAAAATCTATGTTACCTCAAGTTGGATACCAAACATCTTTTCTTGGGTGCAGGTTCCTCAACTAAAGTTTAATTGGTCTCTTTTGATGTTCTCTGTTGCATTTTTGACATCATAATCAAAGATTAATGAAAAAAATTCAAGTGATAAAAATATTTAATGTTTAACATATCATCTTAGGGGCCAGATAAGATGTCATCATTGGCCACATTTGGCTCCCGGGCCTTGAATTTGATGTATTTTGATGAAAGGTGATGAAGAATGAACATCTTACCTGTTGTAGATGGCTCTATGAACAACCTGTGTTGGAGGAAACAGTTTATTCTGACTGGACTGATGAACCAACCTGCTGCAGGGCACTGCCAGGGCTGCCTTGAAACAATTCAATCTCAAAAGTTTCATAGCAGTTAGTGCAAACGTTGATTTTATAAATCTGTACACCGCTGTCCATTTCAAATTACACAAATATGATAATGTTGTAGCCCGAGGCTGAACGGAGAGCCCCCGGGTGTGTCGTTAGCTGCCGCTGCATCTATGTTTGCTTTAACCCTAATAAGTCATGTCAAACTGACGGTGAAGTAAAGTTTGTAAAAGGGCGTTTTATGAAATATTTTAAATTGGAGCTGTTTTAAAGCTGCTAGCTCATCAATCCAGTCAGAATTAAAGTCTGTTATTTTTAAATTTTATCTGAGCTTGTTCCAAGAGCTATCTGCAACAGGTTAGATGTTATTTGTACACAAACTTCCACGGGACCAAACCTCAGAAGATATTTCTTCTTAACTTCAAAGGTGGTTTTCGTCAACGGATTGCACGTCATCGGTTTTCCTCCCTGACCAACGAGCTCGTATCAGAGAAGTAAAACGACCTGTCGCTGAATTCTCATTTTGTTTGTCATTAAACGCGCCGGCCCCCGACCTTTCCCCCGAGGCCAAGCTGCAGGAGAGGTTAATGAGATTAGAGCTGGTGCGGAGGCAGGTATTATGGCTCCAGACACCACTGTGCTCTGCAGGACCAGCAGCAGCTCCGCTCCACACCACCTGGTACCAACGGCACCGGCAGCCTCTCACCTCGACACGAGCTCAGCTCTCCTCCCTTCACATCTTTAAAAACCAGGACGGATCGTACCGTTCACGTTGTATCCCAGCGTTCCCTCCAGCTGAGAGCGCGTGCTGCCCCTGGCACCCAGCTGCAGCAGGGCCAGGGACAAGGAGACGCTGACGGGGGACAGGATGAGGTTGGAGCTGTTCTCCGTCTTGGTGAGCGTCTGGTACAGGCCGATGGCGAACCTGTCGTGGAGCTCTCGCATGCTGTCCTGGAAGCTGCTGTTGCAGTGGCTCCTCTCCACCAACCACAAGCTCATGAGGAGTGAAGCCACGGGCAGGAGACGCATGTCCTCAGTGCAGCAGGACAGGGGAGGGGAGAGAGTCCACAGAGTGCACCAGGTGTCCAAAACGACCTGTAGAAGGGAAACCGAAAGGGTCAGAGGTCAGCTGGACGTAGGAAAACCTGAGCTTGGTTCAAGGTCATTTTGAATGAGGGCGGTTCCACGTCTCCAAAAAGTGGGAGCACGTTTCCCACTTTAAAGAATCCCCTCCTTTTAACAACAACTAAGATTGAGAAGTTTGAACAGCACCCAGTTCAGCACCCAGACTCATGGACCACGACGCCGCAGCAGTGGATCCAGTCTGTGGTTGAGCTCTGTCCTGCTGAAACGTGCAACATCTGCCCTGAATAAAAGATGCTACCGGAGCAGATGTTCTAAAACTTGATTATAGATGTTTTCTTACCAGATGTGTAAGATACCCTTTACCAATGCACCCCCATACCATCAGAGAGGCAGATTTTTGAACTGTCTGCTGATAACGGGGTCGATGGTCATTCTGTCCGCCACTTCACCTCGGTCCATTTTAAGTGAACTTTGTTTCAGAGAAGACGCCAGCGGTTCTGGTTGGACTGTGTTTAATGATCTGTGGAAGAGTTCCTGAGTCCAGAACAGAACCAGACCTGGTTTTAATGCAGTGGCCCCTGAGGGCCCCAAGACCGCAACCATTCTTACTGACTCTCATCCTCATCCTTGGAGCTCTGAGGTTTCTACAGAACCTTTTGATCATATTTGAGCTGTAGATGACGAGACGGTCAAAGTCTTCCCAGTTCCACCGAGGAACATTATTCTGAAATGGTTCCACTTTTTTTAGGCAGTTTTTTCACAGACTGGTGAAAATCTTCACTTCTGACAGATCCAGCCTTTTTTATTTATTTTAATTTTTTATCTTTTTATTGTTCTCGTTCCTCTTTCTGACCCGGTACCAAACAACCATCCAGTCATTTCCTGTACTTTTACAGCTTTTTGTTGCTCCTGTCCCTTCATGTTTCCATGTGCTGCTCCCAATAAAATCAAAATTACCTTTAATGTTTGAAACTTAATGTACAATTTCTTAGTTTAAACATTTCATTTGTGTTATGGGTTGATGAGATTAGCAAATCATTGCAATCACTTCTTGTTTCTTTCTTTTACAATTTACACAACAGCCAACTCTTTTAGAACTGAGGTGTCTTATTATACATATTTTAAGCAGTGAAAAAGTATTTTTTAATTTGAAAAAACAACCTTTTTATTTTTACATGCTTTGTGTGCAGTGATAAAATTAAATTGCCCAGATTCAATACGCAGTTTTACAATGTTCCACACAGGTAAATGCATTAATAACATTTACTGTGTTGGGGACGTTTTAAATGCTCGTTCTTCTGTCGAAGCATCGTTCGCTTCATATTTCAGCATAAAAAATAACTAATTAAAAGTCTTGATCCAGTTTTACTCGTCTCTCAGAGACACTTTTTGAAAATTTAGATTAAAAACTGATATTGTGAATAAATAATCCATGCTGATGGCGAATGCAGCTGTGGGTTGTACTTACGTGCAGACAGGTGAGCTCCAGCTGTTCTTGCTCACGGATCATTCAGCCTCTCCGCAGGCGCCCCGTCCTCCTGTCAGGCGCTGCCTCTCCTCACTGACTCGACCCCCCTCTCTTGCTGTCGTCTCAGTTTCAGGTCGTTTGACTGAAAAAGTCATAAGACCCTGGTTGAAAAGGGGGAACTGTGTCCGTGTTTGCGGTTGCGATCGGCGATGTCCGTACCACTCGTCCAGGCCTCCTTCCTCCCTGGAGCTATAAAGAGGCAGGAGGAGGGAGGCAGATCACCGAGCAGCAAATCCTGAGCCGGGCCGAGAGGGGACCAACACCCCCATGGGTTTCCGTCAGGGCCATGGGAATATACATTTACTAATCCCAACATTTAAACCAAGGAAGTGCACAGTACTTTGTTTAAATAAGTTTTTTTGTTTTTTTAAGTTTAATGACAACGCATCTTTAAAATAAATTTTAAAAAAAAGTTTGGACAGGAGCAACAAAAACCTGCGAAATGGTCCCAATGAGAAACGACTAAAAGCAGAATTTAATGGTCCTCGCGAGCCACTGCGTTAAAACCAGGTCTGGTTCTGTCCTGGGCTCAGGAACACTTCCACAGATCATCCCTCCTGCTGCTTAAAGCTCTATCAGACAAAGAAGAAGCGGTATCTGAACTCCATCCAGAACCACTGCCGTCTTCTCTGGACCAACGTTCATTTAAAATGGACTGAGGTGAAGTGGAGAACTGTTTTATCGACTGACATCGACATTTTTAATTCTCCTCAAAAACCACAGAGGAGAGGGACCACTCGGTCTGTTGGTGCACAATTCAAAATCCTGCCTCTCTCATGGTATTGGGGTGCATTAGTGCCTCTGGCGTGGACAGCTTACACATCTGGAAAGGCCCTATCAATGTAAAAAAGTAGTTACAGGCTTTAGAACATTATGGAAGGCCGTGCATATTCCAGAAAGACAACTCCAGACTGAGCTGCCTTTATAACAGCATGGCTGAACTGGGCCGCCTGTAGTCCAGACCTCTCGTTAGATGAAAGTGTTTGGCGCATCCATTGGCGTCGCAACAATTATATGTGAAAGAGACGTTTACCACATTTACCATGAAATATTAGTTCAGCCAGCGCCGTTTCTGTTCATACGTGAACAAATCTATTCTACTTTATTGATAGGAGAATACTCAAACTGCTAAAAGTCCGCTCCGGGTTTTCCTTCTCACCTACAACTCACCACATGCAATGTTTCCTCGAGGTCACTGGACGGGGCGAGGATGTTGGGACGCTTGAGAGAAGCAGAGCGTCTGTAGCATTTTAGCTAGCACATCTGTACGGTGTGCCGCTAGCTTAACGCTACATTAGTGCCAGCGGTTACTGATCCGGTCAGGCTACTTCTTGTGCCGTGCTCTCTAAAATAGTTATCGAATCAAGTGTTTTGCATGCTGTATGTAGATAAATGTAGATGTTTGAAAACCCGTTAAAATACAACAGAATGCAGGAAATGGCGTTACTTTGTTAAAAATTTTCTGGGGGAGGACCCCCGGACCCCCCCACCAGTGTGCCCCCCTACATTACAAATGCTTCTGACGCCAATGGACACTTCATAAAACAAAATAACTTGCAAAGAAGCCACAGCTGGAACAGCTAGACTCCCAACACCAGACGAGAATGGGACCACTGGTTCCCTTGAAACCCCCCAACGATTGTTCTCGTCAGACCCTAGATGGTGAAAGAGCAGGGGACGCTTCTGAGGCGAAACACGGACCTGCTGAAGTCTTTTACAACGAGTCGCTGCCATCAAATCCAAAACAACCTGTGTTTTCTTCAAGAAACGATGCAAATTCTCAGTTTAAACATTTGAAATGTTCAATATGTTCCATTGTGAATAAAACTGTGTGATTTGCAAAACACTATATTTAAGTAGTTTTTACATTTTGCACAATGTTCCGACCATTTTAGAATTAGTTTTTATTTTTTAATTATTATTCATCTGTAATGGGTGATGGTGTCTCTTTAAAATACAGATAAGACCTGTTGTAATTAAACTGTGAAGGTCAGACTGACGGACATTCCTTGTTTTTGTACAAGTCATTTGGCCTTTTGTTCGATGATCAAAAGACATTTTTCCTCGTCGGAGCTCCGTGTCAGCGTTTCTAATTACCATCTCTCGGTGGAATGTGGATTCTCTCTTCAAGAGTGTTTTTCTGCTTCAACTACTGATGAATAACAGCGTCTCAGTCTGACAGAGCTGTGCAACAACATGGATTTAAAGAATGTGATGTGTTTTATGTTACAAAAACCCCTTAAGCATGACTGAATGATGTTTGTCCACTGAGCTTGAAGCTGATGTTGGCATGGTAATGTGCAAACATGGACAACGTTCGCTCAAAGATCAGATTTTTCTAATTAAACCGTGAATGGGCCAGCCATTAATTAACATGTTTCTAATTTTTATGGTAGTTTTTTTATTGTAAATATAACACAAGTGCTTTAATATTCTCTGACTGTGGATGGCACGGTTAAATTGGGCAACAACTGTGTTTGTTGGTTAAAAATATCCATTTATTGGACTTGTGACCTGTCCAGGGTGTCCCCCGCCCCTCGCACAGTGATTGCTGGACATGGGCACCAGCGACCCCCGTGACCCAAAATGGAATAAGCGGGTAAAGAAAATGGATGGATGGATGGACAGGTGTTTACCACAGGCTGCACAGCTATACAGAAGTGAACACGCATGGAGTCCAGTCACAAGGATCTGTCGGCGTCAGTGTGCCAGGCTTGCTTTTATAACCTTATCATCTCTCTCAGCCAGACTCTGAGGTGACCTGGACTGCAGCTGCGTCCTGCAGGATCAAACCAGCTCCTCATGCAGCTCTCTCTAACTCCAACACGTGGTTCATGGGCAGTTAACATTCTCAGCCATTGTAGTTAAAAACATCCATAAAACTTTATCCAAAATTCCCTAACACTGTTAGCAAAATATCTAATTTTAGACTGATTTTAATGAAACTATTGGAGAGTAATCCTTCTATATCTACCACTGGTTAACTTTTGGTGTCAACCCAATTCAAGATGGCTGCCACTTTAGAAAACACTATGATTAAATTGTTTTTACAGATGTTGTGCTGAGGTTTGTTGTGGGGCAGGTGTGAGTCTTCAGGTGCCTTTGCGCTCTTCATCACGAAGGCTGAAGAAGAGTCGGCTCCTGCGTCTGTGGAAGGGTTAGACCTTCAGGTGTTCTGGTACTAACTGGGTTTCAGGTGCGTCCTGTGAACTTGGTTCTGAAGACAGACAGAAGTTCAGCCTGGGACTTAACCTTCTTTTAACCTTTGTCAGTTTCTTTCTGAGGTTGAGGAGGAGATTTGACCTCTTCAGAGTTTTGACGACCCATTCCTGTTTAGATTTTGGATTGTTTTCAGCCTCTCTGCAGTTGTTGGTATGAGAGTCTGTGTTTGGATTCTGGGGCCTCGTGTTTGAACGGTGCGCACGCA